TCTTTTCGTTTTTCATTCAAAATACTCAAATTTTAGGAATACGTTTTCACAATATCGCCCACGTGACGAAGGCGTGATAATGATGATCATGCAATATATAATGTGATACAAAACACCGTGTCACTGTACGCACCATCTTTTACCAAATTCCAGCATTCTCAATGCAATGCCAATTGTCACCTTCAATCTCCTTGAATACTGTTCTTTTATTCTTCTCTCTCCTTAATAAGCATTTTTCTCACATTCTCTAACTCCATTGTGCCTTAGTGGCTTTATCGCCTTGTTTGTGGGTGAAATGATTTAGAAACAGAAACTCATTTCTACACTTAAATTGTTCTATAACCATTAATTAAGCAGGTTTTATTGGAAATATGCCTTTGTTGAGGTTTGAACTCTTATCCTTGGGAATTTGTCTTTCCATGAGAATTAGGTACATAAAACTAAAATTCTCTTCACCAATGAAACCTTAACCTTCACATGAAAATTTAAGAAATTTAATCAAAGAAATTTCATTGAATAATTTAACAATTTTCTCATTAGAAATTTATAAAATCTCTTTACAAAACATAATATCCAAATACACTAACAATTTGTGCACAAGCAAAACCTACATTTGTTCCAATTTTGGGGAGGTGAATTTGCATCAAGCAATGAAAATTATCAATCAGAATTATTACAATGAGTTCCCATCATTTCAGATGGTCCATCAATGCTTATAGAAATGTTTTGAAAACAAATTTTATAATATCAAAACAATTAAGGGTGATAAAAATAAGCATTTTCTATTTGTTTCACACAATTACATTATAACTAAACTATTTCATCCAAAATATTTATTCAATATCAGATTTTGTTTTCAATTTTTTCCAAAGCAATGTAAACTTCAATGTTTCTGTTAAGATCCGCATTTGCATAAAATCTGGGTGACTTCAACAAGTTTAAATCATCCAAGTTCTTTATGATTTCTTTAACCTGCTGATTGGTTGGTTTTACCCATATTCATCCACTTCTGTTAGTCAATGAAATTAACTATTTGCTTGAAATGATGTTAAAACATCATGTTTGCTATTTTATATTTATCTTCACACAAATACAAATAAACTGAATTTTTCTTCAGATATTTAAGATATCCTCTTCCTTATACTGAAGGATTATATTCATACTAGCAGCATGGACCGGCGTTGCCCAGGCTTGATTCAAAAATCGTACGACTCATACAGCAATCGCTATCACTTGACTTAAAATATTTTGCCCTTCCTTGCCTTTAAAGGGTGCCCTTTGCCGTGCTGATGTTGCTACATGCCTTACTTCTTGCCTATCTCACACTGCGAATTTTTTTCTAAGCTCTAAACTAAACATTAAATCTGTTACGAAAAAAAGAACTAAACAAAATGAACACAAAACAATCAGCTTTTAAAAAAAAAAAGACTCGTAACTGGAAAAACCGAATGAAAAAGAATGTTAACAACAAATGCTTTTCACACCCAACCCAGTTCTGCGGAATCAGAATCAACGTTGAGTTTAAGCAAGCGAGTGAGCCAACTGGAGTAAAGTGCCATGCAGATTTAAATTTTTCCCACTTGTGACGAATGCAGCTATCGAATTTTTTTGCATGCTAGTTAACATTCGTGTCAGTCAGCTGTTGGCTCTCACGCTGGCCAATAGAATCTTCCTGCCTATTCGTGGCCGCCAGCTATAGGCTCTCACTCTGGCCAGTAGAAAATGGCCGCAAACTACATGAAAACTGGCGTAGAAGCATGAAAAAATCGATTATTTCCACTATCGATGGGAGTTGGGAAACGCAAAGTCGGTCTTGGCCTTTCCCGCTAACTTGAAGTATGTGCATGTAAATTTTGGTGCAAATCCGTCGAAAATTGCGGCCGTGCATTCGTTACACACACACACACGCACACACACACACACACACACACACACACACACACACGTCCTGCCTTTTATAGATAGAGATCAATGTTTTTCAGTTGAAATCCAAGTTAACGTTGGTAGCATTAGCATTTAGAGCTCCAACTAAAGGTTACAGAGCCACATTTTTTTTTTTTTAGAAACGGTATCTCTTTGCCGTTGCCAGTGACATATCCTCTGCCAAACCGATGTAAAAATGCGATCCAAAACAATATCCGGGTGCTTTATATATAACGGTGGAATGGTTGCCAAGCAAGTTTTGCAAATTAACTAGTTTAGCGATTTCGACACCCATGTCCTTGTGTCGGACTTAGCACCACAAATCTCTCGAAATGTTTCTGTGTAGTGTTTCACATTAGAGAACAGTTTCCAATACAAACAAACGTGTGAAATGAATTTGATGTGTTTATTGCGATTGCACGATATAATCACTTTTCAGAAGATTGATTAACGTGGAGTTGAAGACAAGGGCGTGGGTGGGGGGTATATTGTTGTTGTTGTTGTTTTAGTTGGACGAGTCATCGCTTGACAAGGAAGGGCAAAATTGGGTTCTTTATGTTGTCATGGTGACTGATCATGCTACTCAACCTCTCTCTCTCTTTCTCTCCCGCTCTCCCTCTCTCTCTCCTTTTCACTTTATCATAGATTATTTACTTCTACTGTATTCTTCCTTCGATTACAGGATTTCTACTCTCTTTAAGGCTTTGCTTGTTCTTTCTTTCGTTCTTTCTTTCTTTCTTTCTTTCTTTCACGTCGGTTGCTCTTTAGCTTCATTTGAACTCATTTGTTTATTCGTTTTCTTTCTTTCTTTTATTTTTTTTCCAATCTGTCTCTCATTTTCCCTTTCTGCCTTTAGTTCATCTTTTCCTCTTTTATCTTCATAAACATTTTTCTCATTTTTCCTCTATTTCTTCGCTTTTGCTTCCAGTCTTTCTTTCTTTCTTTCTTTCTTTCTTTCTTTCTTTCTTCCTTCTTTCTTTCTTTCTTTTACTTTTCCAATCTGCCTCTCATTTTTCCCTTCTAATTCCATTTAATATTTTCCTCTTTTTCCCCTTATAATTGTTTTCTTATTTCCCCCCTATTTTTCTCTTGCTTCCGGCCTTTCTTTCTTTTTCTTTCTTTCTTTCTTTCTTTCTTTCTTTCTTTTACTTTCTTCTTTCTTTCCTTCTTTCATCTTTCTTTCTTTCTTTTACATTATCAATCTGTCTCTCATGTTCCCATTCTGATTTCAATTGAATATTTTCCTCTTTTTCCTCTTATAATCGTTTTATTTTTCCTCTATTTCTTCTCTTGCTTTCGGCCTTTCTTTCTTTCTTTCTTTTACTTTGTTCTTTCTTTCTTTCTTTCTTTCTTTCTTTCTTTTACTTTGTTCTTTCTTTCTTTCTTTCTTTCTTTTACTTTTCAATCTGACTCTCATTTTCCAATTCTGATTCAATTTCATGTTTTCCTCTTTTATCCACATAATCGTTTTTCCGCTATTTCTTCTTTTTTTACTCTTTCCGGCCTTTCTTTCTTTCTTTCTTTCTTTCTTTCTTCCTTTTGCTTCTCAACACGTCTCTCTTTCTTTCCACTTTTCCACTTTTCCTCTTTCCCCATTCTCCTTCCATCTTCGTCTCTTCATCCCTAATTTTTCTTCTATGATCTGCCTGCATTTCTTCACCCAAAGACATCCTCCCCTACATTGCTGGAAATCGTCACCTGAGATTAACTAAAAAGCAATAAAAACTCGTCGTTTTTATGTCATTCAACAACATGGAAACCAGAAAAGTTCAACAATCCTACAATCAGAACAAGTAAAAACAAGATGGCGCACAACACAGCTTACGTAAACTTTCGCTTTCGGTTAAAATAAATAATGATGAGAGTCTATTGAGTGCTATTTTTTAAAATTATTTATTTATTTTTTATTTTTCTGGTCGGGTTGTGAGGAGAAGTTTAACGATGATAAACAAAATAAGCTTGGGATTGCAAATGAGTTTGCAAGCAGCTAATAAAATCCTATATTTAGACTATTTAAAGAGAACGCTTTTCATATGTACATAGATAGGCATACATTTAAAGCTTTATCACTCAATAAGTTTATATAATTTTTATATCTACATCTATGTATATTTATGTTTATAGTTCCTAGCAAGTAATTCAAAATGACACAATGTGTTGATAGCGATTTACTGTACCTTACATATGTCGCAAGGCCGAATGTATTGAGTGCAAAGTGTTCCTGCTTGTTTCATAAATAAACAGCGCCTCTAATTAAAATGGGTATCCACTAAAAGTAATGTTTAGATTAATATATATATATATATATATATATATATATATATATATATATATATATATATATATATATAAAACTTCTGGGATAATAGCTGCGACATTGCTCTATTTATTGAACAATTTAATTCATGCCACATAGACTGGAAAAAAAAATTACTACAACCAAAGAATTCTCCAATTACCATATTAGTAAAAAAAAAAAAACGAACTCTCTTTTAAATTTTCAAAAAAATTCTATCTTAGCGTTGCAGAATTTCTTACAGTTAACAATAACACATTTCTAAAAAACAGATTTCGATTCGCATCTAATCTTTCGTGTCCCGTTATTACCTGGATCTATTTAAAAAACAAAAACAAATCAATTTCCATGCCTGATGATGTCTGTATGAACAGATGAAAGTACGAGCAAAAAAAAAAAAAAAAACCTTATACAAGTTGAATTTATTAAAAACAGGGATCATAACATTCATCTAGAGGTTCGTGGGTTAATGTAATTTTAATAAATTTGTTTGCGAAGATGTATTCTAGCCATTTATATCATTAACTTCACTAATCTGTTTTTGTATGAATGATTCATGTAATATATATACATGCATACACACACACATACACGCACACAGACACAGACACACACACACACATATATATATCTATATATATATATATATATATATATATATATATATATATATATATATATATATATATATATATATAATATAAATAAAAGGTGAAAGACAATAGGAAAACTGTATTATTAGCCGACTTGTTTCGTCCAATGTGGACTTTTTTTTCTTTTTCTACAGGTTAACTCCGAGAAATTTTTCATATATATATATATATATATATATATAGATAGATAGATAGATAGATAGATAGATAGATAGATAAATCTGAATGGCCATTTCACTACAGAATTAATAATTATCGTAACTGAATTAAGTCGACTCCCCATTAAAAATTATTACCTGTAGAACAACATTTCCGCCTAGAAAAACACGATTTTAAAACCCATGCCAAATTCGCTATAATTGAGAGAATAAAAAAGTTCAGAGCAGATAACATTAGAAAGATTTTAGAGTTCCATGAAAATAAGTGGAAAAAAAACGCACTATCCAGTCGGGCTTAATCACAAATTTAACAATATAGATATTATTAAAATATAACCCCACAAATCAGGACCTACCCACATTTCTCACCCCACACAAGACAGACATGCTTGGGGAGGTTTGAGGCCTCACCTTATACACACACTCACACGACTATACACAACACACACATCATACTCACTCACTCCATAATGAGCCAAATGATAACACACACCCATAGCAATATACACGCTTACACATATCATACTCACTCACTCCCTAAGAACCAAACAACACACGCACACACACTTAACAGTGACACATCCCCTTTCCAGGTATCAATAAAACTGCCAAAATGACCAAGAGAATTCAGAGCAGCATGAATCCATCCAGCTCTTATCTCAAATAACAACTTAAAAGAGAATGTTTGACCAACACAAAGTCTGACCAAAATTCATGTTAAAAGATAAAAAAAAAAAATAAAAATGAAAACTACATAGAAAAGTTCATTTTCTCCATCATTCATTTCTGTAGTTCACTGCTACTAGCAAGCAGAATTTTTTTTTCTCCTGATGAAGGCCATGCTGGCTGAAACTAGTCGAGGAATCTAACTGAAATAATAAAAATGAAAGAATATTAATATAAAACCCAGTATGTCGAAAGATTTTAATTTTTTAATATTTTTTATTATTCAAACACACACACACACACACACACACACACACACACACACACACATATATATATATATATATATATATATATATATATATATATATACTCGTCATTAATGTATCGAGCACTGTTGGCTACTGGCGTTTGTTTACATCCGTCAACAATACGTTAGAAATTCCCTTTCTCTCTGCTGCGCGCCGATATCTTAGGGGTAGGATCTCCAAATCGGTAAGGTTTCGAATGTCTAGCCACACTAGTGAGCTGTGATACAGCGAAACAGGCCTGTATGTTGATGACCATGTTAATATATATATATATATATATATATATATATATATATATATATATATATATATATATATTATTGTTCCTATCTTAGTTTTAAATTAACTGTTCATTCTTCATATAACCTCAAGTTGATGTCATAAGGGTAATCTCTGGGTTTAATTTCCCTTTAACACAAATACCATCCACCCTCCACTGACCCCTGTTTCGTGCCTTTCGTCTAACTGGAAACAGAAATGAATAAATTCTGTATGTTTTACGACGTTTTTTTTTTTTGTGTGTGTGTGTGTGTAGCTGTCACAGTTAAATTTCTAATCGCGATACGAACTCAGTCTATACCGGGGTTGAATAAGACTGACGAATTTTTAAATTGATAAAATCTGCCATTATTACTATAAACGTTATTTTTAGTGGTTACATTGGAGCTCAATATATTTATTATAGAGCATATAAATGAATTGCATAAAAATGAAACTCACTTGTACTCCATTTTGATGAACATTTCCCTGGAGCTTGTCAATGCTAAAACGTTTGTTAAAAAAATTATGGGGAACAATTGAGATTCATTTTTATAATAACTGTAAACTATATATATATATATATATATATATATATATATATATATATATATGTGTGTGTGTGTGTGTGTGTGTGTGTGTGTGTGTGTGTGTGTGTGCAGACAATCAACCTAAAAGATGATCTCAGAAGAGACTGAAAAATTATTTGAAAGAAAATTTTGGAATTTTTTCTTGAATAATTTTCTACAGCTATCAAGAAATTAAAATATGTCATCATAATACGTCTAAATCATTTTAACCAAACATGATTGAATATATATATATATATATATATATATATATATATATATATATATATATATATATATAAAGACAAGAGGAAAAAATATTATTAGCCGACGCGTTGCGCCCTCTAAGGGACTTTAGGCAAAGATAGGGATTTATTTTGAGCAAAGATATCATTGATTTTAAATTTGAGAATCTTCATGAACGTTCTCAACTACCTGATGAAGATTCGGTTTGAAATCAGACTTTCTTTCTCCTAGACTGGTAGCCAAATATGTTCTGCTGTTTTTTTTCCCATGGCTGGTGTGGGAGAAAAGACAATTCACTTTTCAAAGTGAATGTGGTGAACTTGACTGGAATTCGAATTCGTATCTCCGATTTCTCACTCCGAACCGCTAACCATTATTCCAACGTACTTCCAATTGATAGATAGATAGATAGTTAGATAATGACAGTTTGTGATAGACATATAATGAATAGTTTGAGATAGATAGATAGATAGATAGATAATGACAGTTTGTGATAGACATATAATGAATAGTTTGCGATAGATAGATAGATAGATAGATAGATAGATAGATAGATAGATAAGAGCAATGAAAATGAAAGAGAAAGAAAAAGCAATAGATAGATAGATAATGAACAATATGCGATAGATAAATTGATCGATAGATAGATAACGAATAAACTGATATATATATATATATATATATATATATATATATATATATATAGATAACTTATACTCGTTTCGAAAAACATTCGAATTTTTGATTTGCTAATAATCAAATCAATCTCGAAGGACAAAAAGATTTTTAAAAAAGAAAGAACTAGAAACATGAAAGTCTGTCGAAAAAAATCGCACAGATACAGGTTCAAAGCCCAAAAAAAAAAAACCCGACACGAGTAAACAACTAACTAACAAAAGAGCTCAATACAACCGTAGAGCAGACCTAGATAAACCTAGTGAGCCAGACAAACCTACCTAGGTTTGTCTGGCTCACTAGGTATATAGATAGATAGATAGATAGATAGATAGATAGATAGATAGATAGATAGATAAGAACAAACTGAAATAGATAGATAGGGACAGACTGAGATAGATAGATAGATAGATAGATAGATAGATAGATAGATAGATAATGGACAAACTGCGATATTTATGGAGGCAGCGTACTATAGAGAGCGAGATAGGCTTGCAACTTTGCGTCTGTTGGCAAAGAGGCTTCAGAGAGGAAACTCAGTAATTCGCTCATAAGACACCGTAAACGATTTTGAACTCTATCAAGGCTGGAAAGTGACATCAGGGCACCTCCACCAGTTTATACACAACAGCAATGTATTCTTTTCATTTCTTCCTTTTTTTCCTCCAGCCCAGACATGGCAGCAATATTCCATTTTACCCTTTCCTCCAACCCGCCCCCAACGCAAAGAAATAATTTGCCCAATAAAGAAAGAAACGAATATGAACAAGAATGCCATTACGAGGACTAGCACTATTCCTCGATAATAATAAATAAATAAATAAATAAACGCCCATGGGATACGACTAGCTTCTCTCCATGGCAACGAAATCAAACCCTAACCAGGGAACGTCACAATGGCACGTTATTCCGACGTCTGAGCAACCAGTTTTTTAAAGATAGAATTACAAATCGCCTCTTTGTCAGGCTGGCTTTATCGCAACAGACAAGATGGACAATGGTCCCTGGATCATCGTCTGATAATTGAACCTGACATGGAAAACTGCGTAGTGCATACGAGTCATTTTAGGGAGTTTTCAGCGAAGGTGTTCGAAAAGACGGAATAGGGTATCTGTTTCGGTGGAAATAGTAAAGAAGACGGCTGTGTGTCGTCCTTGAATCGTAATTATTTGTCATCGTATAAATTTGACAGGCAGTTTCGTTTGTATTGGTGACTTTTATCGGTAAAAGGTCAAAGGAAGGAGGTGATATTTTAGTCTTTCTGTCAGCCTATTACGTTAATTATACTAAGGGATATATCGTTCTTTATATCTATATATATATATATATATATATATATATATATATATACATTCCAGATCTATTCATATTTATATCTTCCCCTACTCTTTCTGTACGTTTCCTTTTGAAATATATATATATATATATATATATATATATATATATATATATATATATATGAGACAGAGCGTAATGTAAATATAAAAAGTGAACATTGGAAATCATCACTTAGAGGCGGCAGGCTGTTTTCATGCGAGACGCAATCGTCAATACGAAAAATATGAAAAAATATTAAAATGATAGTCAGACTTAGTTTATTTCATAATATATATATATATATATATATATATATATATATATATATATATATATATTATAAATGGACAATGTCCATAAATTATTTTAAGACATTTTTATGTTTAACATTATTTTTATAGATACAAATATGTAAGTAAATATATAAAATACAGGACGAATATTTTCTGTAAAAATTTCTCGGACATTCAGGCCGGTAAATGTTGTTTAATACTGTTTATTATGAACAGAGCATTTACTTAAATATTTGTATCTATAAAAAGAATGTTAAACATAAAATGTCTTAAAAAATATATATATATATATATATATATATATATATATATATATATATATATATAACTTTATTTGTATTTGCGATAGAAATAATCTGTAAAAAATGTTATAAAGTTTTATGTACCTAGTTTTAAGTATAGATAAAATAAATAATGTGATTTCAGGCATTACTGTAAATCAGTTGGCAAATGTTTTCCGTGAACTGCAAAATCGTATTACCCTTTGTATTGCTAATGATGGAGGACATGTGGAAACTTAAATAAAATTTCAATAAAACCTTTAAAAATATAGATTTATGTGTTTACAAATTATTTCTATCGCAAATAAAGTTATAATTTTTTTAAAGTGCACACGAACTTTATGAATACAATAT